TTGATAAAGTTGAAGGTGGCCAGGAAATCAAGTTTCAGAAAAAAGTTCATGCCAGCCAGGACGTAATTGAAAATAAGTTATTTGTTGCTATCATTTTGCAGTTAAACAGAAGGAAATTAAGAAACTGTATTTTTAGACTTTATTATAAAGAAGCTGGTAAATGGGAGAGCACATGAAATAAGAGAACACATGAAATAATTGTAAGTAGACTGAATTTGTATGGAATTGAATAGGTTACGAGACTAGCAATCTAAAATAAATATTGATTAAAAATCCCGTACAATACAAGTCATTCCATTTTTTTTTTTAAATTCAGTCTTTCAAAAAATATATTTGATTTAAAATCCAGGTTTTTTATACATGTTATGTTAAATATATTTTTAGGTGTGTATGTGCCGAATTTTAATTAAAAACGTACTTTTTTTAAAGCAAACAAATTTCCTTTGAATAAAAAAGTTGATTATTTTAATGACCTTGATTTGTGTGTTTATGTCGCTTTTCTTTAGTTTTTCTTCGTTTTCCCCCAACCCACCAACCTCAACACATGCCCTTTCTAAGATGTTAATTTCCCTTTCTAATGCTATTTTTTCATAGATTTCTTCATAATGTGTTTGTTTTCTACCCTCCCGTGCCAAAAGTAAAATCTTCAGTAACCTTTACAGCCAGGAAAAAGTAGACATTGTTGTAATGGCAATTATCATTAAATGTTATTGCAACACGTAAAATTTTTTTATGATTTTTATTAGCGCTCGACATGTAACGAAGAATTTTTTTATTTATAAAATATACGAAGAAAAAACTTGAAAGTCAAATTGTTTTACAAAGTAATTTATAATGAAGTGGATTATGTTTGGATATCCTGAAGGAGGAAAAATGAGGATGATAATAGATATGGCAAACATTTTTAAAAACTATTTTTTAAGGACTTTTAAAGCGATTTGTCATATTTTGTGAAATATTTTCTAAAGGATCGACTTTATAGAAGCTTTTCCAGATCTTCTTCAATAGTATGTTTTCAAGGACATCTATACTATTCGTTGTTTTAAGGACTTCCATAAGCATAAATTATTTAAAATCTTTTTTAAGACTCTGATAAGCGAAGAGATTTAAAAGAATAATTTTTTAAAGATTAAAACCAAGCCGAGATTTAATAAAATCAAGGATCAACACAAATAGTGAATTTTTTAAAGGATATTTTTCAAGGTCTATTATGAATTGTTTAAAGAATATTTTTTCAAGGATTATTATAATCCGTATAAAAGCGAAGTTCTACAAAAGTCTAATTTGCGCCCATGCTCCGACCGAAGAAACAGCATACATGCTGCCCTGGCCATGACATTAAAATTCTGCTTGGAGATTTTAATGCAAAAATCGGAAGGGAAAATATTTATGTCCCCACCCTCGGAAAATTCAGCCTTCATGAAGAAACATCCGACAACGGCATGAGGTTGGTTGACTTCGCCGAAGCAAAAACATGATAGTTAGCAGCATCAGGTTCAAGCATCTCGATATACACAAGGCCACCTGGATTTCTCCTGATCAAGCAACGAGAAATCAAATTGATCATGTTGTGGTAGACGGAAGGCATGAATCCAGTGTATTAGACGTTCGATCGTTCCGAGGAGCGAATATCGATTCGGACCACTACCTTGTAGCAGGCAAGGTTTGCACTCGTCTTAATGTAGCAGCAAAGATGCGATATGATGTAACACGGAAACTCGAAAAGTTGCAAACACAACAGATAGCATAAGCCTACTCCGCTCAATTTACCCACCTGCTTGACGAAAGCACTTCTTGTCCCGATAATAGTATAGAAGCACAACGGAAAATAATTGCCCACTCCCTACAAACTGCATCGAAAGCAACACTTGGGTACCAAAGACCAACATCCAGAAACAAGTGGCACGATCAGGAGTGTCCTAATTTTACTGATGTAAAAAACGCAGCGTATTGGGCAACCCTGCAGACAAGTAACACGTAGTGCGATGGAGAATTGTCGGGAGAAAAGGAGAGAGCAGAGACTTATTTTCAAAAAAAAAAAAAAGAAGAAAGAACAAGAAAAACGTGAGCAAATCGAGATATGGAGGAGTCAGAATGAAGTCCGGAAATTTTACCAACGAGTAAAACACCAAACCGAGGGCTTTGGTGCAGACACAGACAGCGTGTTGAGAATCTGGAAGGAGCATTTTGAAAAGCTTCTTGTATCAAATAGTGGCGGTGAAGAAGATACCCCATAACCGGTATATAATGTCAAAATAGCATTCAATCGACTGAAGAATAATAAAGCAGCAGGAGCTGATGGATTACCAGCCGAACTATTCAAGACTGGTGGTCAGATGCTGGTCAGGAGCATGCACCAGCTGATTAGTGCAATTTGGCTAGAAAAATGCATGCCCAACGATTGGAACCTCAGCATCCTGTGTTCCGTACACAAAAAAGGAGACAAGACGATATGTGCCAACTGTAGAGGAATAAGTCTCCTTCCCATCGCATAAAGAGTGCTATCCAGCGTACTGTGTGAACGACTGAAGCCAATGGTCAATGACATTATAGGACCATACCAATGCGGCTTCAGACCTGGCAAATTCACCATTGGCCAGATTTTTACTCTCCGCCAAATCCTGAAAAAGTCCCAAGAAAAACATATCGACACATTCCACTTATTCGTCGACTATAAAGCGGCATTCGACAGCCCTATCCGTTCAGAGGTGTCTAAAGCCATGTCTGCGTTTGGCATTCCTGCAAATTTAATACGTCAATGCAGGATAACTTTAGCTGGCACAAGATCAGCAGTTAAAGTCGGAAAGGACCTCTCGGAGCCCTTTAATACCGAACGAGAATTCAGACAAGGTGACAGTTTGTCGTGTGACCTTTTTAACATCCTGCTGGGAAAGGTCATACGAGAGGCAAAAGTGAACAGAAATGACACTCTGTACACCAAACTACACATGTTACTCGCCTACGCCGATGACATCGACATAATGGGTCGAACACTGAGAGCGGTAACATCCACCTTTGAACAAATTGAGAAGCAGTCTGCCAAAGTGGGTCTGGCAGTAAACGGCGAGAAGACCAAGCTGATGGTATCAACGCGCAAGACATCTAGTAGACTCGGACCAACAGTGGAAATTGAGAACTACAGCTTCGAGGTAATCATAAATAAATAAATAAAACCATCCATAAATAAAACCAATGACATCAGTTTCGAAATTCGGAGAAGGATAGTGATGGCCAACAAATGCCACTATGGCCTGAGCAAATAACTCAAAAGCAAGGCCACCTCCCGCCAGATCAGATTCACACTCTACAAGACGCTGATACTACCCGTGCTGTTATATGGATCTGAAGCATGTGTACTTGCCCAAGCAGATGAGGCAGCTCTTGGAGTGTTTAAGAGAAAAATTCTCCGAAAGATCTATGGGCCGATCTGCGTTCACGATGAATATAGCCGTCGAATGAACCATGAGTTGTACCAGATATTCTCGGACATCGAAATTGTTAGACGTATTGAGGTGCAGCGACTACGTTGGCTAGGTCATGTTGTGAAAATGTATGAAGAAGCCCCAGCCCAGAAGGCATATAAAAGCGAACCAGCTGATGGTTCACGCAGAAGAGGAAGACCATGAATAAGATAGAAAGATCAAGTGAAAGATAACATTGCCGAATATGGTTTTTCAAATTGGAAAAACTGCGCAAAAGACCGACGCGCCTGGAAAACTTTTTTAAGCACGGCTTATGGAACGAAAGTTCTGTCACAAGCCAGCTAAGTAAGTAAGTAACAGAAACACGGAAATATGGTGTAAGATTTTCTATTACCGATTCAATATAATAAATACCCGCAAATGGGCATTTACCCTGTATTTTCCCACCCTTTGGGTATTTATTCCGTAAATATCATCTCTACGAATGGCAAACAAAAAATATTTAAAGTCTGTTTTAAAGACATTCATTCATAGCGTGGATTTTTTTTAAATATAATTTAAAGAATCTTCAAAGGCCAACATAAGGCGTTGATTTTTTAAAATTTTTTTCAAGGACCAACACAAGCGTAGATTATTCAATAAATATCCATAAGGGGCGGATATTTTAAAGAATATTTTTTCAAGGATCAACCATAAGGCGTGGATTTTTTAAAGAATATTTTTTCAAGGACTATTATAAGGAGTGATTTTTTTAAAGAATATTTTTTATATATTTTTTTTCATTTTTAATATTTTAATTAATTTTTATTGTAGATCGCTTCCATTGTCTTTTCGTGTACTTGTTGTCAAAATATAACACAATTTACAAATAATAATAGTTCCATTGAAAATGCGTCTTAACACACAAATTTTGTTGCTTTTCAATTGCGGAACTACAATATTTGCATTGTTGTCTTAACTAACGAACGTATTTGTGATTTGCCATTGTTTTTAATTCACGAAGTTTTGAAACAGTGCAATTAGTTCACACTCATTTGATCGCAATTTGAATAAAATAATTGAAGCGATAAATGGTGCTTCTGCTGTCACTGTTTCGGATTTCAAACAATGTACTCTGGTGCAGGCCATAAACCAATGAATGAACGAACAAATGAATGAATGGATGTGCTGCTGAATGAATGTGAAATAAATGAATAAAATGGAAATTCATTTTCCAAAAGTTTAAACACTATAGAATCACGTTCCCCCGCTTCGCAGAGAAATAAAGAATTTTAATTGAAATGGGAGATTTAATTGTGATGAGATTTTCATTGTTTAAATGAGAAAATTCAGCAATTTATGTTAAATGAATTGTTTGTTTGTTTGATTTGCAAACCACCATCACCAACAAACGACGACAACAACAACAATAATAATAATAATGGAAATGGCCATAGTTGAGGGAATTTGAAGGATTAAAGTTTTTGCGAAATGATATTATGTGTTCGGTGTGTGGCAAAAAATAATTTTCAATTTTATTTTTATTTATTTTTGTTGTTGTTGATGTTTGGAAATTCTTAAATCTATTTTAATACTCACCTCAAAACTCACAATTCCCGTATGGTCCTGATCAAGTGTATTGAATACATAATGGGCATATAATGTTGGATTTGCTATTGGTTTCAACATCACCATCATCGTCATCAAAATTAAATCAGCCAAGTGGTTTAAAAAAAGATGAAATAGAAAATTTCCATTTAAATTATGGCATATTGAAAAAAAGTCGACAAACACACACAGTATATAGTTTTATATCAATCAATGATTTTACATAGATTATTAGAA